ACATGATCACGATGGTCCTCTGAGTCTCGAACCAGATCGACACCTTCTACAAACGGTGCCGACCTGACTGAGGGCCGAGTAAAGAAGATCGTCTGAGGGGGCCTAGGAGAACCCGATGGATTCGGGTGCCGACCTGGGCGAATAGTCGAATGTTTCCGAAGAAGGATACGAGCTCAAAAGAATATAATAAAACAAGTGGCTGGGTAATGATTGCGGACAAGACAGGCCGACCTAGTCTACATCCCCTAGAGGATCTAGCCAAGGAGAAAAGCTGATAGCATTAAATGCTGCCCATGTGAGCATTTAATGCCACATAAGTAATGATTGGAGACCTCAAATCACATTTAAATGATCTGTCAGAAAAGCGTCGACCAGGACTGCAGAATTACTGTGTGACAAGACAGCGAACAGTGCCAAAACAGTGGAATTAAATGACATTATAAATAGACCATTGCCTCATTTATTTTGGGGTGGTTGAATCCTCAACTAACTCTAACTTCTTCCTACTTTCTCTCTCTAAACTTGTAAGAAATCCCTTGTAATAAGCGTAAGTATATCGCAAGTGCCGACCTCGTACGAGAGGCCGACCTAGTGATCGTTTAATAAAAATTGTGATTAAATCATACCTTTCCTTTATTTACAGTCCTACACTTTAAATATCTTCCATTTTGACCGTTGACCAAAAATGCTCGTCAACAGTTTGGCGCTAGAGGAAAGGCACCATAAGTTACTTGGTGTCGACATTTTCGACCTGGTGTTTAACGCTACATCACTTTTTCTTTTGTTCCCAATCATCTCCGCTCCGAAACTCGACCAGATATGACTTCATTCACTCACGACGAGTCAACACAGCAATCCGACGCTCAGTCTCACCGGCGCAACGGCGAGGGAACCTCCCGCCGAGTTCAACAGGGGACTCAAGCCCCTGCTCCTCCAGTCCTGACCTTCGCAGAGGCCATGCAGCACCCCGACGTCCTCAAAGCCCTCGAGGGGGTCTTCGCAAAGGCGCTCGCTGGTCAGGCGGCCGGGGGCAACACTGTGGTGGCCATGGAAGGCCCCGGCAACACACTACTCCAAACTCCCGCCAAGGAGGCGGACGGACAAAAAAAGAAAAAACCCGCCAAATCCAAGACGACGGCCCAGTCCCCCAACCGCGCCGCCCTAGAACGGCGCGAGAAGGGAGCTGGCCCGACGCCTACCGAACAGACCGGTGAAAGCCAGTCGGACCGAAGCCTGCAGGTTATTCGCCGCTCCGTCTATCAATGCCTCGACGACAAAAGCAAGGCCAATCGGGACCTCAGGGAGGTCATTGAACAAGGAAAAACCATTGGACACAACGTAGACGAGGTCACGGCCTTTAAGCGTAGAATTGCCGAATTGGAGGGTCGGCACCACACTCAAAGCGAACCTTCACCTCCGCTCCTTCCACCTCCTCCCTTCCCATGACCAACTCCCCGGGTCGTGGACCATGCCTCACCTCTCTCGCCTGACATATTGCAAAAGCCCGTCCCTCAGAAAATCAAAGTCCCTCAGCTCGGACTCTATGCCGGGAGCTCGGATCTGGACTCACACATCGGCCTCTACACCTCGTGGATGGACCTGCACGGCGCCACTGATGCTTTGCGCTGTCGCATGTTCTCGCTGACATTGGGGCCCAAGGCGCAGAGGTGGTACCACTCTTTGTATCCCCACTCCATCTCCACGTGGGGGCAACTCAGGGCGGCGTTCCGATCACACTTCATCGGATCGCAGATCAACCTCGCCCACAAGGAATCTGTCGCCAACATCGTCCAAGGTGAGGACGAAAGCTTGAAGGATTACATTACTAGATTCAACGATCGAGTCCAAAACATGGAACAATGCCACCCACAGGCGCTGCTGATCTCGGCACAGGCCGGCCTGAAGCCGAAGACTTTGTTCAAATGGTCCCTTTGCCAAAACAAGCCGACCACATACCAAGAATTTCTTGTCCGCGCCCAAAATTACATCATGGCCGAAGAATCCTCGTCCATCCCGGTGCTCGACGCCGCATCGAACAAGGGAAAGGCGAAAGATGAAAAATCAGGAAAATCGGGCAAATCATTTGCCGAGATCCGAGCCATGAGGAGGCAGAAGGCGGAGGAACTCAAGGAGACCTATCAAGGCATCTTTTCGGTAGGTGCCGCGGCCGTCTACGAGGAGATCAAGACCAAAGGGTTGTTACCAGACCCAAAACCGATGTTTACTGATAAGGACAAGGTGGACAAATCCCGTTACTGCACCTACCACAAGGCGCATGGACACAACACCGATCAGTGCCGAAACCTGATCTCGGCACTGCTCAAGTTGATTGAGGACGCATGTTAAAAGGTTTACCCACTCAGGGGAGAAAAGAAAGAAGGGAGGCCGTTTCGAGGACGGTCTCGACAGTGAAGATGATGCCGACGTGAACACGAAGGAAGAAGCCGCAGCAGGGCGGCCCCAATGAGATCTTGACATTCAACCCGGCTTATCAGGGCGAAGCCAGAACCTCGAGGGGCCGAAAGCGAAATCGGTCCCCATCATCGGGGGCCGACAAGGCCTATTCCCCACCCCGGCGCGTGAACACTAGCCGAGGTGAATCCCTCCTGTCGAGAAGACAGACCAAGGCTTATGCCCGACAGGCCTATCATGCCGGGCAAAGGGTGATGCACGCCGGGAGCAGGCCGGCACCTGAACCGACCCCCAACAAGATTTCATTCACCGACGAAGATGCCTTCCTCTTTGACCATCCCAACTCCGACACTTTGGTTATCACTGCGCCCATCATGGCAATCAAGATCCACCGCATCATGGTCGACACTGGGGCCTACGCAAGCATCCTCTACTACAACACTTTCAAGAAGATGGGAATAGATTCAAAGGACGTGCAATCATGCCGAGAACGGATCTAGGGCTTCAATGGACAAACGACTACCCCGGTCGGCCAAGTCACACTGCCGATCCGATTCGGAGAAAAAGGGCAACCCAAGAGAACCATCCTCGAGACCTTCAAAATCGTGGACTGCCAAAGCGAGTACAATGCCATCATAGGCAGGACGACGCTTTATAAGCTGAGAGGCGCCGTCTCCATCTTTCACTATTCCATCAAGTTCCTAACCTCGGACGGGGAAGGGAAACACCGAGGAGACCAGAGGGAAGCTCGGGAGTGCGTTCTGACCATTCCACGATTGGAGATAAATACCGCCAACCCCGTTTCAGATACTGAGGTGGCAGCTGTCCAGGAACACCTGCAGACCTTCCCCACGAAAGCACCGAGCCGGTGCCGGGCGGAACAGGGGGCAACCGCATGCTGGGAAACCAGATAGATTCGCCTCATTTGTCTGAGATAAATGCCGACCTGGTCAGCGCGAGTGCTGAGATCAACCCAAGTCCGGGGGCCGAGCAGGCCAGTCTCGATTTGAGGGACGACCGCACGCTGAGCAATCAGACAGGTCCGCTCCCTCAGGTTGAGGATGACGCCAACCAGGCGGGAGAAGGATCCGGTGCCGGCCTGGACCATGACAGGGGCCGGAGAGCTGGGAAGGAGCCGGTCATGGAAGAAGATGAGCTCGACCCCCGCACGCAGTACAAAGAGAAGAAGGGGACCAAAAGAGCCGAGCCAATGGACGAAGTCGAGATCATTTTCATCGATGAAGAAACTTTTCAAAAGCAACTCCGAATTGGGAGCAGGTTACCGGAACCGCTGAAGGCCGAACTAACCAAATTCCTTAGGGAGAACGCAGATGTTTTTGTGCGGACCCATGAAGACATGGTCGGCATCGACCCGAAAGTTACTTGCCACAGACTTCAGGTCGACCCCACGGTTAAACCCGTGGTGCAAAAGCGGAGAAAGCTCAGCCCTGATCGCCAATAGGCCCTCGAGGAGGAGGTGATAAAATTGAAAGACAACGAATACATTCGGGAGGTCCGATACCCGACCTGGGTTGCCAACCCGGTCCTCGTGAAAAAGAACAATGGGGCGTGGCGCTTATGCATAGACTTTTCCGATTTGAACAAGGCGTGTCTTAAAGATAGCTACCCCTTGCCCCACATCGACTATATGGTGGACGCCACCTCGGGACACGAGCTGATGAGTTTCATGGACGCGTACTCAGGATACAATGAAATACCCATGCACCCCGACGACGAGGAGCACACATCCTTCTACTCGGCACGCGGGCTCTACTGTTACACAATGATGCCGTTTGGACTGAAGAACGCTGGGGCAACCTACCAACGCCTTGTTAACAAAATGTTCGCTAGTTTGATAGGTGTGAGCATGGAGGTGTATGTAGACGATATGTTAGTCAAATCTGTGTACGCGTCTGATCATGTTAACGATCTCAATAAAATGTTTTCTATTTTGCGTGATTATTCGATGAAATTAAATCCCAAAAAATGCACGTTCGGTGTCGGGTCCGAGAAATTCTTGGGGTAAATTGTTAGCCAACGCGGAATCGACGCAAACCCCGAAAAGATCCGGGCAGCACAAGACCTTCGACCACCGACCTCGATCAAGGGAGTCCAGATTCTAACCGGAAAACTCGCCGCCCTAAGCCGTTTCATCTCCAAGTCGACGGATCGGTGCAAACCCTTCTTCGATGCAATCAAGAAAAATCACAAGTTTGAGTGGACGCCCGACTGCCAAAAAGCACTAGAAGCCATTAAGGAGACCCTCTGCCGGGCTCCGACGATGCAAAAGCCCCGCCCAGGAGAAACGCTCTATCTTTACCTAGGAGTATCCGAAGTGGCCGTAAGTGCCGCCCTGATCCGGGAGGAGAACTCTTGTCAATACACGATCTACTACGTGAGCAAGGCACTCCACGATGCCGAGCTGCGTTATGCACCTATGGAAAAGCTCGCTTTCGCGCTGGTAACTTCTGCCCGGAAGCTGAGGCCGTATTTCTTGGAGTATTCAATCGTTGTTCTCACCTCCTACCCCATTAGACAAATCCTACACCGGCCGGACACTTCCGGTCGGATGGTGAAGTGGGCGGTGGAGCTGGGGCAGTATGACATCCACTACCGACCCCGAACAGCAATGAAGGGGCAGGTACTCTCGGACTTCATAGCGAAATTCACGCTTGGAGTTGAAGAAGCAAAAACTGAGGAGCCATGGGTGATGTACGTGGACGGGTCCTCCACTGCCGGACGAGCGGGCGGAGGAGTCTTCCTCGTAGATCCCTAGAAGAAACTCTTCTGTCATTCGATCCAGTACCTTTTCCCGGCTACCAACAACGAAGCCGAATACGAGTCATTGTTGTCCGGGCTCGATCTGGCAGAAGCCATGAGCTTAACCGACCTCATCATATATTCCGAATCTATGTTGATGGTCAAGCAAATATCAGGAGAATTCAAAGTTAAAGAGCCGAGGCTGGTCCCCTACCTGGGGCTGGTGAGGAAGAAACTAGCCAAACTCCGAACTCGAATTGAGCACATCCCCCAGACAGAGAACGTGCAGGCCGACGCCCTGGCCCGCCTCGCCTCAAGTGCCGGGGTGGAAAGCGTCGAGTACGTTCAAGTAGGACACAAGGAACAACCTTCTGTGCTCGGCACCTCTGTGTTAAGTGTCGGGCAGGAGGGAGAAGACCAAGACCCGAACTGGATGGTCCCGATCCGATTGTATCTCGAGACCGGGTCGCTGCCGCCTGACCCAAAAGAGGCCAGACAGCTTCGTACCCAGGCAGCTCGATTTACGATCGTGGCCGGTGAACTATTCAAGCGGGGTTACTCAGCACCCCTACTCAAGTGTGTAGGCGAAAAGAGTGCCTAGCTCATACTTAAGGAAATTCACAAAGGCGTATGCGGGAACCACTCTGGAGGATACGCCCTCGCTCATAAGGTCCTCAGGCAGGGTTATTACTGGCCGAGTCTAAAAAAGGACGCCTTGGATCTGGCCCGGAGATGCACGAAGTGCCAAACCTTCGCGCCTAACATCGTTCAACCGTCTCAACCCCTGAAGTCGATTTTCAGCCTATGGCCATTCGCCAAGTGGGGTGTCGACTTGATCGGCCCCATACCCACCGGAAAGGGCGGAGTAAAGTACGCCGTTGTCGCTGTTGACTACTTCACAAATGGGCAGAGGTCTAGCCGCTCGCCACTATAACTGAGCAGAAGATGATAGATTTCATGTGGAAGTCCATCATATGCAGATTCGGGGTCCCAAATTCGATAATCACCGACAACGACAAACAATTTGAAGGGAATAAGTTAGAAACATTTTGTGAGGAGCATAACATCAAGCACTTCTTCTCAACTCCTTATCATCCGAAATCGAACGGTCAAGTCGAGGCCGTGAACAAGATCATCAAGCAGGGCCTCAAGGTCCGACTTGAAGCTGCAAAAGGAAGTTGGCCTGAAGAGCTCCCGAGTGTACTCTGGGCCTACCGCACCACTGCCAAGTCGTCAACCGGCGAAACACCATTTTCCTTAGCATACGGATCCGAGGCGATGATACCAGTTGAGCTCGGCGCCCCGACATTTCGGGTAATTAACTTCGAAGAGAAGTCCAACTCCGAATCGCTAAGAACCAACTTGGACTTAATCGACGAACATCGAACGGGTGCCGAACTTAAGAACGCGGCATACAAAAGGCGAAGCGAGAGATATATCAACTCCCGAGTCAAACCACTCTCATATCAGGTCGGTGACTTGGTACTCAAAAGGGTGACGGGGCCCAACCCAGGGCCCCTCAAGCCGAAGTGGGAAGGGTCGTACAAGATCAGCGAAGTCCTCCCACATGGGGCCTACCGCCTCGAACACCTCGACGGCACCCCCCACCAATATCCATGGAACGCGATATTCTTGAAAAAGTTCTACCAATAGGTTTAGGGCGATCCCTTGTAATTACTTTATCACTTTTTGTAAGGGAAATGTAATTTTTTACCATGATTAATCCCGATAAGGCAGAAGGTTTTAGCATAGATTGAGTCGAAGCAGCGTAACTAAACGTAAGGAACGAAGTGTCGGCCGAGACCAGTACGATGGCTCGGTCGGCACTAGCCGGGCTCAACTAGGAAGCCCGGACAGGCCTACAATACCACCGAGTCCGAACGCAAGACCGGTCGGGAAAGCTGCCATATAATTATGTGCCAGTTGGGTCAGTACGATGGCCTAGCCGGCACAAGCCGGGCTCAGCAAAGTAGCCCGGTAAGGCCAAAGCTGCAAACTGTAAGGAATGAAAAACGAGCTCAAGCGCGTAGCTCGACTGGCCTAAACCGCAAACCGACTCAGTGAAACAGTTCGGACAGGTAATGCGGCCAAGTGATGAATTAGCATCGGGCTCGACCACGAG